GTATTCAAGTGTTGACAAAACTAGTGGTCCCTTATCTGGAGATAACTAAAGGCAATATCATTAACGTCTCGAGTTTTGAGGGACTCAGACCTGTAAGTCATTTAGTAATTGTTATAACAATTTATTACATTTCGTTAATAATTATCAGAATCCGGTGACAATGGTTTATTGTATGGCGAAAAGTGCCCTGGACATGTTCACTAAATGCCTGGCACTATCATTGGGTCCAAAAGGCATTCGCGTGAATAGTGTTAAGTAAATCATAATTACATTTATTTATTGTCATTAAAATAAATTTCAATTTTGGTTTTAATATAAATTAAATGAACACAAATAGCAAACATATATAATTAAATTTAATGATTACTATTAATACTGAAACTCTGACCCAATGAAAGCCCGGCCGCCATTCGGACGCCAATATTCCAAACGGTGACCGAAAACGACGAAATGCTTGATTGTGTGGAGAAGTATTGCAAAACCGCTTATCCCTTAAGACGTATCGGAGAACCGGAAGAAGTGGCAGAATTGGTCGCATTCTTGGCCTCAGACACCACCGCGTCGTTCATTACCGGAGCACTCATTCCGATAGACGGCGGGAGTCTTCGGGCAGATCTTTCGGCCATTGACTATATAAACCTTTAATACATTTACGTTAGTTTTAACTACACTTTAAAGATAATTGTTTTCCAAACGGTCCAAACAGTTGTAGCAATACTTCACAAAATATTACTTTTCTAAACCTCAGAATAAATAAAACATTTAAATAGTTTAGTATTATTATATCGTAGAGATTAATTGATTTTTTAATAGTGAGTAATATCAATTTTTAATATTGTGATTTGATTTATGTTTAAATGTTTTTAATTATTAAATTAATTTAAATAAAACTATTTGTCTTGATGTCTTTTGTTTTAATTATACTTATCACCTAAAATATATTATTTAATACTATAAATGAATTTTTAAAAATACTGTACAATATTAATATTACAAAAAATAGAATTTTGTAATGATTACAATAGAATATTATAAATCTTGCGCTTGTTCCTAAAATTACTAAACAATAAGTTAGAAATTATAAATTTACATAAATATGTGTATTAAAAAATGTAACATTAATATATAATATTGAGAATCAAATAAAATATAATTTGTAAAATTACAAATAAATCTAAAGTAGATTATTTTTAGGAAATTAAAATATAGTAAGTTTTAGTAATTGTTATAAAAATATTATATAGTAATTATTAACACATTTGTTATTAAGACATAAATTTGCATAACAACAATCTTATAATATTTAATAAAATCCTGTTGTGTTGATGCCTAAAGAACCATCAATTAACATGTGAAGTATACTTACCATAATAAACGTTACATATTAATAGCAAGTGTACATCAGGTGTAAACAAGTTTAAACTGGTAGTTCTTTAGTTGTATACTTAAATCCCCCAAACGATAACATATTGATATAAGTTATTCATTTATATAAATTTTTGATCGTTTATTATTAATACCATTAACTAATAAATGTTAGTACATGTAATAATCTATATTCTTCAGTAATCCCACAATTAAATAGAGAGTTAAATGCAGTTATTTAAATGTAATCTAATCAACACTAATATAGATATCAATAATTAATAGTAAATTAATGCATACAAACCGAAAGTGCCTCACAATTTGAAAGAGCGCTTTAAATGCCAGCATTAAGTTTTGTATACAGAAAAAAAAATTTATTCAATGATAATATGGATCAAAGTTTAACATTAGTTACACTGAAAATGTAATCTAATCTTTGAAATTAGGAAAAACTCAAGACTCAAACCTCAATTCAGGTTTCAATTACTAATTAAACAGAAAATATAAATATGTATTGTATAGGAGATGAATCACAAGCAAAATATTTGTGACTTTAATTTAATTGTGTTTTCAATTATTTTAAAATACTATTTACCAATAAATGTATTTATTTGACCACATTCTTCTCCATTTCAAGTGCGAAGAGACTTGAGTTTTGTTTCACTTGTTTTTTAATACCAAAAAACAGCAAACAATAGTTTTTTACGCAAAAAATATGTTTTCAACAAAATGTGTGTTGTTTTGGTTATCGGTATTGAATTCATTGATTGGCATAATTACGGCTCAAACCTATTACGCTCAGGACTACTGCAACTCACACACAGCCAACCATGAGATCCATATCGACGACTTGGCTCAACAGTCGGTCACAATACGGGCCAGTCGTCAGCAGCCATACCAGTCCGATATGGACTGTCAGCTCCGTGTGATCAACGATTGCAAACATCTGGGACTCAATATTAACCTAAATTACATAAATCTCCGCAAATACGACAAATTCAGAGACTATTTGGTCATCAAATTTGACAACAATTACACAAATCTTTGGTATAAAAATCGTTTAGTTAGCGATAGTAACGAAGTGTTCAAACATTTCACGACATCCAAGTCGGATGAGCCCAACCAAGTTGTGGTCAAATTCGCGACCACCGACCACATCGCTCCGGCCGACGACCAGGGCTTTGAGATAATCGTCACTTTATTCAAAGACAATGAGAGCAAAAGTGCCAAAAAGCGTGACAACAAGTGCGGCACTCAAACCCTGTTTGATTGCGGCAATGGTTTGTGTATTAATAGCCGTTTCGTATGCAATGGAGTCGACAATTGCGGCAATAATGCGGACGAAGAGCAGGGATGCAAACACAGCCGTAATAACAACTATTTTGACATTTTTGAGACCGGCTTTTGGTTTGGCTTCAAAATAGTGCTCATATTATTGTTGGTGGGAATACTGATGGGTATTCTGTCGTGTATTTGCAAGAAATACGACGAAAACGCCAAATTCAAGAAGAGGTTTGTGATGGAACAGCTCAGACGCAACCCGGGCTATAACGTGGACAGCGGCGGAACCATTTACACCAGAAATCTGAAGGACAAGTCACCCCTCTATCCAAAACTATATCACACTTATGGCGGTACCGATGCCTGACATCCAACACACCTGTTGTTTGTTTTGCTCAATGTTTTCATCCATTTATTTAATAGTTTTTATTTTGTACATTATTTTCATTTCATCGATCACTCAATCGACGGCAACCCGGGATCCGGACTCGTATTCCATGAGCTCCGGCTCTTTCTTTCTGGCAATACAGGGACACAATGTCTGAAAGAGTCGCCTAAAACAGCCCTCTTTAGGCGGTGTCTCGGTCTCCAGATTCTCGTCGTCCGTTTCGTCCACTTTTGCCGATTTAATTGATTTAGTCTTACTTTTCGCACTTTTCTTACTCTTCTTACTTCTTCTCTTGAATTCTTTATCAGTTACTGACAAATGAAATCACAATTCATTATATAATTACATTCATTCAATTCGTTGTGTTACCAGATCCTTCAGTTTCGCCCTCCTCTTCATCTATTATTTTGTTGTTTTTTGTAAACAATTTAATAAAATCATTAATTAAATTATAATTAATTTAAATGATTATAGATTATTTTTTTAAATTCATTAATATTTATTTAGTTCATTACAAACCAATTTCAGTGTTTATCTAATTATCGAAACATAAGATAATAATGAATTGAAGGACAAAACGTGACAAACCTTCAGAGGAGTCTTTCTTCCTCCGCGGCGACAGTTTGACGAGAAAACGCATTTTTGTCATCAAAAGACTGATACCAGACGGACCTAATGGTGCCATATATGGTGTCAAGTCAATACGGGGTTGTTTTAGCAAATAATAAATAGCAATTACTTGAATCCGGTGCTTTCGATACCGACGATAATCTGGCAATTGTTTTGATTTTTCTAAATAACGCCCCAATACCTGACGGGCCTATAAATTCATTGGTTTTAATTTTATAAAAATATTTATTTGATTAATACTTGTGTCTTGAACTGGTTCTGCATTTTCATCCTCGTTATCATCGGTCATAAACTCGTCGTTTTGGTCCCGTTTTGGTGATAAAGCGGCTCTTGTTTTGCCAATCGCTTTGATTTTTCTCTTGATGTCCGCCGGAGAGTTGCCGGCGGTTGGGCTCACTTTTGGCCACAATTCAGACAATATGTTTAGTTATAATTCATAATTTAAGTCATAATTGCAATCAATATTTATACCTTTTCCTGATTTTTGTGACTTCTTGTCCGGACTCTTATCCGGGGACTTGTCTGGACTTATTTGCGGCGATTTATGCGGACTTTTGTGGGGAGAGAGTGCGGCCCTCACAGCACCGGTCGCTCGGATTTTCTTAATGGCAGCGCTTTTTGCTCTCAAATATGCAGATTCTTCGTCTTCAGTCCTGTCCTCTAATCCACGCAATATTTAGATATATTTTACATCAAAACAACTCAACATTTCTTCGCAAACCTTCGCTCTCTTCGACTAAAACCTCGTGTTTAGGCGACGACTTCCTATTCGGCGAGAAGAGGAGTGATGTCTGTCCGGCGGCCCTAATCTTCGAGCGGATCCTTTTGCTCGACGGCGAGACTAATGAAACAAAATCACTGATTAAATGAAACGATAGATATTTTTATAATTCATACGATGGGACTCGTCTTCGGACTCTTCTTCGCTCACTTCTATGATTTTCTTCGGTGACAATCTCTTCGGTGACTTTGGAGAGGGAGGCGTTTCGCGTCGTTTCGCTGAAGCCAAACGGTGTATTGTATCGGTTGGACTCGGGGCTAATCATAGGGTTTAACAATGGGGTAAATATTGTCATCGAGTGTCTTATTAGGGATCCGATAATTATTATTTGATTAAATTAATTATAACAATACGTGTAATAAGTTTTGTGAGTATTTCTCCACCCCTTCTCTCCCGTCTCATAGTCTCGTCTTCAGTCTCTGAACCGCCGGTTTCGCTGTCATCTGAACCGTAATTTATAATCATATTATATATCAAAATCAATATGTATTAATCGGGCCATACATTGAAACACTTCTTTGCCGGGCACGGCCAGCATCTCACTGTCCTGTTGAACCCACCGGCCTTTGCCAATACCCGCCACATGACCGACCATTTTTGCCTTTTTCTTAAGCACCTGATTGAGTGGGACGGGTGTCAGTGTAAGCAACGGTACGTTTCGTTGGATGCGCTCCTTCTTTGGCGATCGCATATACTGTTCCGCCTTCAGGACAGACACTTTGATCGGCGAATGTATGCCAGTCTTGATGGGCGACACCGGCAGCGATCGGCGCGGAGACGTGTGCGGCGAGTGCTTCGTAAACGACACCTGTTTCTGGTATTTATGCGTTACGGAAGTGATATGAATGGGTGTGGCGAATGAGTCCTAACAAAGTGATGGATTAGTGAACACAACAATTGTATTGTTTATTATTTCAAACATCACATAAAAGAGAGACATGGGTTATGTTATAGCAAAGTGTCATACATCGAATCCGTACTTTTTACCCTCTTGGATCCATTTGCGCCACCACTTGGTCTTAGTGCGAGTCCTGATCTGTATATTTTTGCTGCCCCTCTGGACGGCCACATAAACGGGCGACTTATTGATGGCCTGTTCGCGCATTCGGTGCACATTGCCGTCCGCCTCGTCTAACCGTGATTTCCATCGCTTAATGCGCGGACACGCGTGCCGTAGCTTACGGTTCAGTTCCGCCTCATCCGCGGCCGCCGTTGGGTTCACTCTAACCATATTTTACATTACATTGCATTACACTATTCTCTCACTCAATAACACAATACTTTGCCCGAAATGACTGAACAGAAGCTCAGATTTAAATAAATAACTTTTATTAAAATAATGCTTTCATTATAAATATTTGTTCATTGATTTAACGTTTGACAAATCAATATTTGATAGTGAATTATATATGGGTTAATGTCAATAATTGTATACTTGAAACACATATTGTGCTCTAATTAATAATAGATTCACTCTCTTATCTAGTATTTTTATTTATTAAATGCCTTTCACTTTAATTAAAGTAATTCATGTGTAAAATTCATAACAAATGTATATTATTGGATTAAATGATAATGAAGTGTCTTGAGCAACTTCTAGTGTAGCTAGAATTATGAAATTAGTTTCATAATTTAAGTTGACATCCTTAGGCACCAGAATCCAAGTTTCATCAAGATTGGATGAATAGCTTTTGAACAGGA